TATTTCTTAAATTCCTTCAAAATTTAAAATAACACATTGTATATACTTGCCCGATGGCTGTTTCTTATACCCAGCCTATGTGAACCAGGTAAAAAAAAATTGAAAAATAGACAAAAAAGTTTGTTTGCAATGATGAATTAGCTGGGAATTTTTCTTGGTGTAGTTAGATAGTTGATTGTTTGATATGTGTTATTTGTTATTACGCACTTGGTTTGGATATTTCAGTATAACTGCTCAAAGTCAAATTGGGCCTGAGAAAAAATAAAAATGATGATAGGCTGATCATAGATTTTAATTTTGATAGTAATGAAAGCGGTGTTTTTATGCATTATATTGAATAGATAATATTTTTAATTTTATAATTTTTTCTTCATTTGCAGTATCCTTTCGAGTCGTCTCTTTCAACGTCATTACTTTAGCAAATTTATACGTGTTCTTTTCTTATTTATTTCCATCGCCAAATTATGTCGCAAATTCGTCACGTTATCATTTCGATTAAAACATAAATTGCGTGTAATGTCGTGTTTGCCGTTCAAATGTTGTATCGAGGAGCGACTGAGATTAAAGTTATTCAAAGTACAATTAGACGCCATCGCTTTTAAGCTCATAATGGATAGAGCTTCTGGACCAACGAACTGGAAATGTGAATTAGTACCGTTGTACATGAAAATATGTTTAAGTGAAATAATCAGCTGCAACTTTAAGCAAACAAACTTTCGTTTATATTTATCATGCGCTCCTGCTACGAGTTGAGTGCATTGTAATACTTTACCGGGGAATTGAACAAAATTCCTGTTTTGAATAAAATTATACTATCAGATTTTATAGTAGATTTTACGTGAAACAAGTAGTTTTAATAAGGTGATAAATAAAATGCTTTTTTTCATTACATATATTGAGAAATATCGTCATTCGTGAAACACGTAGTAAATAGGTAATTTCATATTATATTGGAGCTTTAAATTTATATACAGGGTGGCCCAATACCTTTGAATTGGTAGCTACGTCAAACATTTTTGCTCAAATATATACATCAGTGTTAAAATAATTAATGGTCAACGACAACTATCTAATAAGGATGATATAATTCCATAAAACATATTTTATCATCTTAATAAATAAACAAGGCTTATGGTCTTGTGGTCGTAAAGTGTATATGTTTATGCGTTTTAGGTATTTTAAAAAATTGTACCGAAGGGTTATCATAGTTGTTGGTTAATCTGTTGGTACCTTTTATCAATCTTCTTAATATCTTCAAATTTATATTATTGATTTTTTATAATTTTTGATTACAAACTTTTTAACGTGTTTCTTAGAGTAAAATTAATAAAGAATAAATAACTCCTATTTAATTTTATAACATTGTTATGGTTTAAAAATAAACAATGAAGGCAATGAACTATTTGAATAAAAAGAAAGCATCTATAAGTGAATAGAATCTCTTGTAGGTTAGTATTAGAGCTATGGAATTTCAATCAGAGGTGCCAGTTTCGATAACCGCCTTGGATAGCCTGATACAAAGCAGTAGTGATTTCGGGTTTCATTTGAAAATATAGATAGCCATATGTGAGAAGTCATTATCCGGCATTGCTGCATCAATAAAAAAAGTCAGCATCAAAAAATTTGTACTAATAAAATTCATCATATAGAGATAAAATAACTGTTTGGGTTGCTATCTATAAAACCGACGTGGTTAGTTAGTGGAGAAGGTATCTAAGTTGTAACTGTTCAAATTTCAGCACTTTGTGGAGCAATTATGTCAAATATAGATTAAGGGTGCTATGACTTTTAATATATAAACAAAAAAATGTATCAAAAATATGGATGTCTAATAAAATCATCATTGAATTACAATGTATTAAATTCTAATTAATTCCGCCTAATTAGTGAAACCAAATCATATCATAACAATAATAAAATCATTGTAAGCACAACCGTAAACTTGAACAAAGAAATTATTTATGGAACAGCTCTCCACATTGATTGCAGTTTTTGTAACAGTGAGTTTTTAACAATGCAATGGCTAATGGATTTACTTTAAATTCACTACAATAGTATATATTTTGCTCTTAAGAAAATGCCGTTTAGCTTTATATAATTGATAAATTAATGTTCCTATTATAACACGATTTTTTTATCAATTTACATAGGAACTATGCTGAATGTATAACGTATTGGTACAAAATGGAATTGGATCTATAAATGGAATAGAACTTGTTCTTGTTTGCAAGTTGCAACATTTGACTTGGATTTATACAAATATAATAACAGGTACCAATATCATCTCCTCCTGAATCCGTATTCCTCTGCGCTTCATTTCGTCGCTTTATCGCAAGACATACTCATTTCGTTAATTAAAGCATAGTTTCCATCCGGAACAGTAAATACAATTTTAATATACTGACATGTTCGCTCAACGATATGTGGTAAGTGATAGTATTCAGGAAATGCAATATTATATGACGTTACATGTACGATGTACGAATATTCCATATACACCGCAAATAGCGTACATGCATACACATTGCTGAACACGGTTTGTGCGATTTCAGGCATTGACAACGCGTACCGCACATCCAATCTATTTGATCACTTTAGCCTCTGGCTGTGACGTCGGAATATATACACATACCTATATATATATACATATCTAAATTTCCATTTATAAAGGAAAACAAACATAAATGATCAAATTTTTATTTTGTAAGCGCTGCCGTAATACTTTAACACTAAACCTACCAACGCAGGTCAAAATGACCCTTTTATTCGACCGTTAAAATATCAATATCGAACTATATGACAATTCTTAGAATATGCTAATAATATTTTCTTCACTCTTTGATTTTAGTTAATTTCTCTATTTTCCGAAAAAAAAGTCATGTGGCCTAACAACCGCGGTCGGTCAATTTGACCGGTGAAAAGTAATGTTATTTGGGGAGTTATTTCCATCGACTAGTAGATGCAGATTTATAAAAAATATACCAAATGAAGCAGACAAATTTAGAATAAAGTTCTGGATAGTGTGTGAAGTCAATAGTAAATATATAATCAATGGGTTTCCTTATTTGGGAAATGACAAGAGGAGAGATTATTCTATTCTTCAATTCGATAGTTCATTATTCTAAAACTCATATTTTTGTTCATATATTTTGAAGCAATTTTTATAAATCAAATTTTATTACTCTCACGGCGTGTATTTTTTGCATTCAATTACCTACAACTGCCTAGAAGGCATTCAGTAATTATTATGACCAAAGTGTAGAATGATTTTTTTAAAATACTACCCAATGGTAGTATTTAAAATATGTAAAATATTTGCAAAAAATAATTATAAATCTAAATTGTAAATTAATTATGCTAATGGGTTGAATTTTCTTAATATCCTAATAGTATTTGTAGAGAGCAGGTTTTTCGCAAGTTCATTGGGATGATTTTCCAATATGGTGTATAAAAATAAACCGAAAAAATGCTTGTCCCAAATTTCAAACATTATCTGATAGAAATAGGAGAAAGCAGCAAAAGTTAATAACTATTAGATTGTGTATCAGTTTGGTGAAAATGTGGCAGTCCAGATAGATAAGAAATGTAACATGAAATCGAAAATTTGTATGTGACAACTTTAGGCTAAAATTTATCACGATTACCAAAATTGTGATAGAACAACCGTTTGGCTTGCCATCAGTCAGAGTTAAGTCAAATCATCGCAATAGTTTATAGAACCCCCAAGCAGTTCAAATAATAATACTATTGATAAAGTAATGATTTTAATAAAGCTTCATATCGAATTCAGGAGCAATTTCAGAATTTGGTGATGAGGAAATATCATTATATATTAATGCATGAACAAAAAAAAATATCATAAAGAAAATATAAATAGAAACATATTTATAATAAATAAATAATAATACATTTATTTATTATTGAAAAATCATTAACAAGTAAATTTTGAATAAATTATTTACAATAAATGATTGAATAAATAGAAGAAAGCAGCAAAAGTGTATCAAAAATTATTTGATATTATTATTCATTATTATTACTAGATATTAAATTATTTAACAGTTGTAATAAATATTATAATTAAAAAAAAAACTATTTGATTTTGTATATTGCTTGGTGAAAATGTGGCTACGAAATGTAACATGAAGCCGAAAATTCGTAGGTGGCAACACTCACAAAAGTGAATCTAAATACATTATGTGCCGAAAGATGAGAAATAATAGAAAGTTTATCAATTTAAGCTATTTTTAGTTTATTGGAAAAATGACGCAGTTTCCTATAGTGCTTGGATACCACTCATATAAAAAAAACTTAAAAACCAATTTTGCACATTCTCAAAATGATCGATAAAATCTAATTATTAAAAAAAATCAAATAAATTTTTAAAAATCAATCTTACACATAATCAAAATAGTCGATAAAATCTAATTATTAAAAAAAATCAAATCAATAACAAAATTTGATAGATACAACCTGCACAAGAGCTTTGGCTCTATCCAAAAAAACATAAATTAATCATATCAAACCTCTAGTGAATATGCATATGCAGGACCGATTCTTAATTTGATCGCCAAAAATAATCTCCTAGATCAACTATCCCCGATTCACCTACATTTATTTGTACGTTTAACGTTTGTATGAATGTATGTTTAAATGTAAGAGCGTCGCACTGGTTATGATTGCATTGCCTAATAACGAATCCTGTACTCATGCATGCGTGCATATTTCACACACAGATCACAGCACAACTTCACACAAACCGAATCGTGTTAAATGAGAATTTGGCAACATTTTTAGCCCAATAATAAAAAAATCATATATGCCATCTAGTTTGTTTGAGGATGAGGAATGCATTTATCAATACTTCAATTCAATATAGAAACATTTTTGATTATTATTCTCTATATAACATTGGGCACAAAAAAATCACTTGACTCCTGGCTGACATAATATAATTTCAAAAGCTCATTGAAGATATATCTATCACTTATTTAACGTACCTCTTTTTTGCAGGTCGTCTCTGGTGATTTGTCCAGCGGCCACTTGTGCCGTCGGCGTGGTCGGCAAACCGAGATGAGAAGGTGCTCCTGCTCCAGAGTACCATGCCCATCCTGGTGCTTGACCATTAAACATTCGCAATTTGTCGTAAACAGATTCGTTTTGAGAGTTCGCTTGTTGCTCTTTTTGTGAAGCAAGGTTGCGCAGAACGCGGTTTATTGAAGACACCTGTGGATAAAGAAGGAAAATGGTGAGTCTTACATTTAACAAAATAGTATGTAAAGTATTTGTAATATTTCAATAATAATAGTTATCAAACAAATTGAAGACCAAAGTGAGAAAATTGAAGAAGTACGCAAATTTCTCTTGGTGACTATCAATTTCTTTTGGAGTTGACTATTAACTCTTTTACCATGCAAAGTTTGTTTAAATTTCCAGTAGAGCAAACCTGCGGTTCTCCTTGTGAGATATAATTACTGTAAAGTTGCAATGATATAAAAAGAATGAATTTTAACCTTTTTTTAAAAATCTGAATAATTTTCTCGCCGATTCCATTATTATTTATCGAAAATTTTTAACCACCTGCCTTAGTTAGACCAGCCCCAGCCGTTTCTCTTTCTACTTCGCGCCACAACCATTGATAATGAGAATTCTATTTGAATATTTCATGCTTTAATGTTAACTGGACGGAAAGATTTAGAACACGTGTCTTTAATCCTCTGCACAAAGTAGACAGGCTCGATATTTTCAAATTAAAACACTATTTTACATGACAGAAAATACAATACGTGGGGAGAGGGTATAATTTAGCGTACTTCATATGCATACACGTGTCGAAATCGTCACTTATTTGTGGATTCTTAGATTCGGATGTTATTTGGAATTTAGAGTAGGATTTTATTTCTACTATGAGTATTTTCGCACGTTTATTTTTATTGAACAAGCTTTTTTATAGTTATAAATCATTTTTTCTAAAATTTGGGGATATCTATAATTCGACATAAAATTTGGGGATATCTTTATAACTTCCATGTTGGTTTTAAAATATCAACTTAAAATTATATATAGCGCTGTTATATCCAATAATAATTTTATGTTGGAAAATAAATTGATCTTGGATGTTGCCAAAAATTCAGTACTTCAAGCATATAAATGAATTGGTCTTGGTCTTGTATCTAAAAACCGTATATATGTTCTGTTAAACAAAATTGTTGAGCTGCTATTTGTTAATGGCAGTTGTATAAAATATTTTGTCACGAAAAAGCGCATTTCGTTAAGAATATTTTGACTCAAATCCATAAATTGCGGCTGAGGGCACAGAATGGGTTGATCCGTTCAATGAAACTTTTAGAGTCTAAAAGCTCCATTGAACCGATATACAGTCAAAAATTTAGGCTACCAGTACGTTAAATACGTGACTTAACAGTATTTCTGGTATATCATTAAATCAACGATTACATGATTCGGAAATGAATCATCTTATTCTGAAACTATGAAAGATTTCTGATAAAAAACTAATTTTCTGGAGCTTTGAGACAGTCAGTCCGTTGAATAAATGATTTAACAGTATTTTAATTATATCAATAAATCAATGATTAATTGTTTCGGAAATGAATCATTTCATTCTGAAAGTATGTAAGATTTCTGATTTCAGAAACTGATTCTGTGAATAGATGATTTTTCAGTATTTTTATTATACCAATAAATTAACGATTAATTCATTCGGTATTAATCATTTTATTCTGAAAATATGAAAAACCTGTGATTTTTCCCATGAACTTGTCTAGTTTACATTATTCGTTCATCAGTATTCAGTCATCAATATATCTTTTTCAACCCTTTGGCAACGTGCGTCGCTCATAGGCGACATCTGCTTGATTATCTGTGTGTCGTCTCTAGACGACATAAAGTGTTTAGAATTTTGCTTCAATATTAATTATTCTCATTTAAATTATTGACGATTGTGATTTGTTAATTTTATTTTTTTAAGTGTAATTTTTAATTTCTATTTGCATTTCTATTGATAATGATTGGAAAATCTTAAAATATATTGTGTAACAAATTTTTGGGTTCATACAGCATGTTCATACAGCAGTGTCACTCCTGTGGAAAACACTTTCTTAGCAGAAGGGTTAGTGTCAAGTGTTAAAATTAGTTTTTTGTCTATTATAAATCAAGCTATTAACTGTAAAAACTGTAGATTTAGCATAACTCGTAACATACTACATTAGAAAGCATCATTAAATTTTATTAACTGGGAGTTCTCACAGCCAGTTCGTTCGCTGCTTCGCAGAGTTCTTGATTCCTCCTTCTATTACTACTAATCCCTGATCCATTTGACATTTTTGATAAAGCAATTAGCAACGATTCTCAATAAATAACTCTAACCACCTATTATATTTATCATCTCCTTTGCGGTTCATTCAAAGCGCTTCGTAGGTATTCGATCGTGAAGAGTTGCGCCGCAAATTGGATGCACATAAGAATCGCTTCGCACGCGCGCACGTGCCCCGATTCTGATTTGAATAACTGGCATTCTTTTTTGTATGCAGATCGATTGTGTTAATTATGGGTCCCAGTTTTACGCAGAATACAAGGATTATAATTATAACGGGGAAAGGAGTACTTTATTCCCTATTATCGTAAAAGCGTTAATTTTGTGGTGTGTTGAATACTAGTTTATGTAAAAGACTGCAGTTTTAGGTCGCGTGTTTGTCGAAACTGGTTTCAAATCGGTATGCCGTAATAATTTTTTATTTATTATTAACAATATATGTTTTTAAAATATATTAATAATAAGATAAACAATACTTTTTGAACATATCACTAAGCAACTTTTTGTGAATTCTACGCCATTTAATCACGCATACAAATATTGAAAAACATGCATTTTCATAAGGTAGCCATATTTTTTTAAGTCAAAACTGGGATGGCAATGGAGGTTGGGTCTTTAAAATAACAAATGCTACTAAAGGATACAATATAAACAGTTTTTTTTGTTTGAATAATTTTTTTTAATCAGAATCGCGGACTTATATATGTAATACTTTTTTATCTGTGATAATATATTATATATATATATATATTTTTTGCTTTTGAGCCTTGAATAAAATTCTATTCAATTTTCTTCAATTAATTTAATTTAAAAATTAGCATATGTTTGTTTGTTTTCATAAATTTTGTTAATTTACTTATTAATTTTCTGAAAACCTGGACAATGCGGGACAGAAGATTTAAATCTGGGATAATAATAAATATTGCTTTTGGAAAAACTCGGATGGAATTCCAGGACGGTCGTGGTAAAATCAGGACGTATGGCTGCCTTAATTTTCATTAACTTCTAAATTTTATAAAATAGTATATTCTGAATTATCTTTGAGATAATATATTTTAGAATTTTTTATTTCATTTTTTTAAATAAATTTAAATGCTCTTTCGATTAGTACAAATAGGGTGAAAACGGTTTGAATACGAAATTTTAACAATTGAATAAAAAATAATTAATTATTATAAAACTTTCTACAGACAGAAAATACAAATCGCGTTATATTTTAGAATTTTTTTTTTCATTTTTTAAATTAAGTTTAAATGCGCGTTCGATTAGTACAAATAGGGTGAAAACGGTTTGGGTACGAAATTTGAAAAATTGAATAAAAAATAATTAATTATTATAAAACTTTCTGACTTATGATTTCATAGATTTCAATATATATCTTGATATAAGTGAAAAGGACTCAAACTTCAATCAATTAATTTTTGAAATGGTATTACTTTGCCTGGCTCCTACACCTGCGGTAGAAAATACAGCCCAAAGCGATTAATTTATTTGAACAATATTTCAAAATGATTTGCATGATCTCGGATAAAACATTTTGATGAAAACGTAGCCAATCGAAGCATGATTCCCGTCGAATATGATGTTTCATAAACCGTTTGTGTAATTCTAATTAACAGTATTGCTGGAAATTTACATTGATCGCAATAATATGATAGGCCGTTTTGTCTAATGCGCTTGCGTCAACATTGTCAAACGGTGTGCCAGTTGTAGAATATATGATGCTATTTACATAAATCAGATAGCGCATAAACGTCAACCATATATCAAACGTTAGAACCAATTATTTTATATAGTAAACATGGGGTGCGAACGATGTTGCGGCATTAGGCATAAATCGCATCGTGTCCATAATTAATACACTCAACATAATCATGATAATAATATCAATGGGATTCTACGTATAGGGTAGATCGAGGCACGAAGGTCCAATTTGACTTTAAGCAATTATATTGTGAAAACCAAACCAAACGAACAACTATCTGACTATGTTCAGTAAAACTCCCAGCTAATTCATCATTGTAGAAATGTGTTTTTTGCTGTATTTCAAAGATTTGTCACCTGGTCCTTTTTATCTCATAAGCGGGCTAAAATGGTATAGTCAGGAGGCAAACAAATCCAAAGTCTTATATTTTAATTCTAAAGGGATTATTCGTAATAATAGCTACATTATTCAACCAATGCAAAGTATAAATGTCATGGGTACATTTTTTACAGGGATAACACTGTATATAACCTTCATCTGGTATTTTGTCAGAGAGATTCATCAGCAACGAAATAACTATATATCTAATTTATCTTTTGTAAAATTAATTATTTGTTGAAATTATAACAACATAACGATTTTGACGTATTAATCTAATTATTCGATTCGTAACAGAAGTCTACAGACTATACTGTGTTTTAAAAATACATATAGTGCAACTTTACACTTTTTTGACCTCTATTTATAATAATGTTTATACCTTATATAATTATTATACCTCATAAAATGTTTCATTCAAAGAGTTTGAATTTTTTAAATAAAATAACATACTTTTTTAGAATATCATAACAAACTAAATAAATTTAGTATTTGAATCTCTTAATACGAAATATTATTGATTTTTACACAATGAGTAAAAACCATCGAAGCTGCCATAACGTAGCATCAAATACCATAGTGTTATATGAACTCTATTATTACATACAAACCCTGGTTGCTCTATTAGATTTTTAGTCGATGCTCATATGCTTTGTTTTATACGTGCAATACAATGGTATATTATGATTTGAATTTCAATTCATATTTTGTGGAAAACTGACGAAACATAAAACAATAATGAATTAAAAAAATATTGAGGAACGTTTAGTAAAAAAAAAATATACATGAAATATATGTGTAAAATAAAAA